ACCTTTTTTTCAAAAATGGGTGGATGCTGCTGTCCCAAATCATCTTTAATCTCAAAACGTGGTAGTTCATGCAAACATTACTGATTAATAATGACAATAGTGCTACAGCTGGCTGCTGCTTCTGCAATTTACACTAGAAAACAAGCACAGAATCTGTGTAACAGTGACATGAATATTCAGCAGCAATGTATAAAGTAGGGTTTACATAAACTGTTTAGATTCAAGTTGCTTTAAGAATGGAAATAATCCATTTAGGTCTTGGCTTTGATAGGACAGCTGTTAGCTTATCGATCTGTACAGAATTAAACTGCACTTCTATAAAGTGAAGCAGTTCAAAGATTTTGCTGTGACAGGTAAGATACTGATTGTTCATGCACTTTCTACAACAAACACACTTCAAGCAATCTAGAATATCTTTTTTTTTTTGGTCTGAGAGCAAAATAACTGCTTCTTGTCCTCATGCTGATGATTACTGGCTCATCAGCATGTATTCTCTGGAACAGAATTATTGTGTTTAAAACATTTATAACTAATTAGGTAACGTAAGGTAATTAAATAACTAATTATCACAAGTTAAGGTTTGAGAATCACTACATTTTTGGGGGTGTATGCCCTTCAAGGGAAGTTTCCCCATATACATTCTTTGTGTGGTCATATAGTATGTTTAAATACATCAAAAATATAAATACTAGGTTATAGGAAGTATAGGTTTAGCTTAATTTGTCGAAATTCAAGACAGCGTTGATGCTTTTAAGTCTTTTATTGTTTAAATCAAACTCGTACTTATAGACCTGCACATGAATGCATCCTAGATGCTTTACAAATAGATATTTCATTTAATCATGTGTCGCTCATTCTCCTTTGTGAGCATTGTGCTCGCTATTGTGAGCAACTCCGATGCTTCTTGATTAATGGCTTTTTCAGAGAGGTGCCACTAATGGTTCTTTAATTACTCGACTTCCCTCCCAAGCTTCCAGGATTTCTTCTCGTGTATCTGCAGCAAAGAGACAGTTTATGTGGTGAGAGATGAAAAAAGACTTTTCTACAATGCCCTTTGCTGCCAAATGTCCACTTATGTTTCAGCATTAATGACACATGAAGAGACTCGCCGCAGACAGAAAACTGTTCAGCATGCAGGTCAACGCTGCAACATTTCAGGTGATTCTGAAAAGAATTACATGCGTAGTTTGATGTGACGAGTGTGGCAGAGCAGGAGGCAGGCAGTCCAGGAAGGATACTCAGAACGAAAACGCAGAGAGGAGCCTCCATCACCAACAGACACCAGCTCCCAACTGTGGAGAAAAGAAAACCAATTGGTAAAATTACCAAAAATTACTTTCAGAATATTAAAATAATCTCACATGTCCACTTAAGCATAAAAAAGTTCGACATGGTGTGATTTAGATGCCACAACGTAAATAAAGCAAATAAATTAAAATAAAGCAGAGAGCACATATCAATAAGAGGTGGCTCTTGGTACAAGTATAGATGCAATTTTTTTTCTTCTAAAATTTAGGGACCAGTGCCATCATGTTTGTTTCATCGAAAATCTGTCCGTAGGCACCGGTACTTGTTGTCAATGAAAACCCTTTCTTTGATGATGCATGGTATTGGTTTTTAGAAGTGTTAAGTAAATTGTATTATTATTGTTTTTATGTTATTTTGTTGTGGTGCATGTAACAGGTCTCTCTGGTAAATGAGACAATGAGCCTCAAGAGATTTCCCTGTATAAATAAAGAATAAATAAAAAATAAATAAATAAAATATCAAGAGGTTTATGAATCCATAAGAACATTTCCAGCAAGAAGTTTAGCAGACACTTAGAACTGGCTGTTTGTCAAATTATAGCAATTGAAAACTTGTTTAAAAAGATAAGTATTTCTTTTTTGATGGTTTTTTTGCAATGTTTAAATAATTTGTTCCTCCACTGATATCTAAAAACATGGAAATACAAGCAGGATGGTAGGGTGGTTGTATACCAGGGTAAAATATCAAAACTGACACCTGCATGCAAAGAAATACAAAAATAGAGTAACACATGATTCACAACTGTAGTTTCAGTAACAAAAAATAAAGAAAAAAGAAAAAGAAAACAGGAAGTACTAATCTTAAATAACGTCCCTTTACCTGTTCATCTGAAGCTTTAGTGGCTGTGGCGTCCCCCTCCCCCTCCCCTTCCACTATTGACAGCCAGGCAAACAGACATCGGAAATCACTTTTTAGTGGCGTGTGGTATCAGGAGAATACAACTGGTGCAGACACGCTCAATCAGTGATCAGACATGTCAAGGGCTCGAACCATGATCTGAAGTACGGAGTTTGACATCAACATTTCTGGTTTATTATTCCTGTGTTTTCCTTTGGCCTTCAGAAATAGTGAGCCCAGATTTAAAGCAGTGATGTTTTTACTGTGAGGTGACACTGATGACCCCACCAGCATTCAGTCCTGAACTAAATACGTTTTAGAAAGTTTTATGAGAACGTTACATTAAACCCAGTCTTAGAATAAACTGTGTGCATCAGAAGAAAAAAAAGAAATTATGTATTTATTTATTTGGACATGATAAACTACCAACTGCTGCAGTACGATGCATCCAATACTGATGTCCTAATTTTGGGTAGAGCCTTAATGCCGATGTGGGTTTTCTCTTCTAATTTTAGCCTTTCAAATTGATTTTTTAAAACAAAAAAACATAAAAACTGTTGCACATGGTAGGTTCCATGCTGCACGCCATTCTTACATTGAATCACAAGGTTTAGCATTAGTTATCAATGCACCAAAACAGGGCAGAATATTTTACACCCCAATAGTCATGTTTCCACCCAATTCTACTGCAAATTTTGAGCGAACTTTTAAAAAGGGTGTAAAAAAGAAAACAATAAAAAATGTGGAAAATGAGTGTTTCCATCAACTGATTTAGAGCAAATTAACTAAACTACACAATCTGTCAGATATTGATGTAAAGTGGCAGGGACCACACATCTCGAGACAATGGAGCAAATTTTCAGGAATGAGTTGCTGTTGGGTAAGATGTAATTGTTCCGTCATATCAACTAGTAATAGCGATACAGGCTGTCTGGAGATGTGGAGAAAGAAAATCAAGTCAAATGCATGCAGTAAGGACCATACAACAACAACAACAACAACAGGAATATCCGAGAAAATGCCAGAAACAGCTGATCAGTCATGTGAGGTAAATGTATGAATTTAGTCAAAGCAATGTGTTATCCTCTTTTAACACTTTTTCAGAAAATCCATTAAAAAAGCATTCTCCAGCGAGCTTTTTGCAGAATTAGAACATTTTTTCTTCTAATTTTGCCATTTTTATCTTTGTGATCAAATTGAGCATTAAGAAACGATGGAAACATGGCTACTGAGACTCTAATGGAGCTGCCTGCTGCAGTAGGCCTATAAGAAAAAAGAGTACATAAATAAATATAGCTCAGAAATACTGTAAGTATGTCATTATTGATATGCATAATTGTAAATTATCATATAAACAAGTTTTATTAAATAAATTTTAAAAACTCTATGAAATACAAGTCCACTGATAAACACTGGGTGTGTCTTCTGCTGTCCCATAACTGTAGAAAGAAGAGAGAATGAATCACTAAAAAAAACATTCAATATACAAAATTGCCAAAATATAAAACACACGCAGAACAAAACAATACACATTATATATATTAGAAGGAACTACTAATGATTTATTTATTTATTTATTGTCTTTTTCTACACAAGATTCTTCGAAAATTAGAAAGATTACAATGTAAATACTGGAAGCACTCGGAGAGCACAACTTCCACCAAGGCCATCCATCCATCCATCCATCCATTTTCTGTACACGCTTCTTCCTTTTCAGGGTTGCGTGGGTCACTGGTGCCTATATCCAGCCAACACATTCTCACTCCCGAGTCGTCACATATTGACGTTTTTCAAAGGTCCCTTTGCGTCCAATTTTGACGCATCAGGTACCCCCCTCGCGTCAGTCCTTGCCGCCCGCGGCTTTTCCGGGTTGCGCCACCAGGGGTCTTTGGGTCGGGGGTCTGAGGTTAACCTTAGGGATCAGGATAAATGGTTAAGTTTAGGGACTGGGGTCAGGGATAGGATGTCTACAGTGAACATTAGGTAATTTTAGGCTTTGCAACACGTAGTTGCCATGAATTTCCTACATTTTCTAAAAATGGTTAATTTTACGTATCAGGGTTAATGGTTAATTTTAGGTACTAGGGTCTGGGACAGGATGTCTAAAGTGAATAAACGTAATTTCACGCTTTGGGACGGTAGTATTTGTGCATTTTCTACACTTTCAGAAATTACGACAACAGATTCCGCCCCATCCCGTCAAAATATGACGCAAGGGGGGTACCTGATGCGTCAAAATTGGACGCAAAGGGACCTTTGAAAAACGTCAATATGTGACGACTCGGGAGTGAGAATGGGTTGATCCAGCAGTCACAGTGCGAGGGGCGGGGTTCCACCAAGGCCATAAAATGCTAAAAGGATCCCCCTTGGAAAAGTGACCTATCCAACGCTTTATACTAAATATAGTAACATCATGTTGCATCTACATAAAAGGAAATGATAGAAATCAAAATTTCAATTTATTCCAAACTATTTATCAGAAAACACATGTAGATAATATTGAATCAATGTCATAACACAATATCATAACCAGACTGTGCCCATCCAGTGAAGGCATCATATAAAAAAGGTTTCCAAATAAATAAACATTAAGATTACAGTTTAAATTTTCAACAAAATATTCAGAAAATAAGTGTGAAGAACTTTGACATCTGTAATTTCCCCTATCCTGCAGTAGTGAAGCATCCTTCAAAAAAAATCCTGGATTCAAATCGTGATTCGAATCATCACCAAGATGTAATGGTGCGTTTCTTTGACCAATACCTGTCTGTGGGAAAAATAACAATAATAATAAATAAATAAAAATAAGTCATGAAAATCCATCCATATGTTTTTGAGTAAATTTGTCCACAGACAGACAGACAGAGAAAGACGCGACCGAAACCCCCTTGGCTGAGGTAATAACACACATGCGCGCGCGCACCTTCCACCGCGTGCGCCCGCGCTACCGTCAGGACAGAGTGAGATGTGTGTTCAATACACGATCTTTGCCGGTAAACTTCCGCATTTTACTCCCTTCCTGTTGTCACGGCAACATTCAACAACAATATTTTTCCAAACTGCGCTCAGAAACACTGGATTAAATCCTGCAACTACAAAGCTAAAACCAGTCTAAGTGGAGTTTTTATTTTTCATCAGCATTAAAATGAATCAAAAGCAGCTCGTTCAAGGTGAGATTAAAAAAAACAGCTTTTAAACTTTCTAGAGAAGACTGAACCACTGATGAATTGAGGCTCTGTTGGGTATTTGCAGTTGTGGACCAGTACCAGAAATCAAGGCAGCAGTTTGTGGAAACTGTGGCTGATCTCGTCTGCAAACCATACAATGCACAGTTCCTCCAAGATGCAGGTAAGATGTTGGAGTCTGCTGGTGACAGAGAGTCACCTGATCCCACCTGTCCTCTCCTCTCCTGCAGATGTGATATCCCTGCTGTGTCCCCTGCTGTGTGATGTGGTGCCCAGCATCCGGCAGAAAGCAGCTCTGGCTCTCGGCCGGCTAGCAGACCACAACAAGAACCTGGCCATGGCCGTAGTGAAGGCGGACATCCTGCCTCAGCTGGTCCGGTCTTTGGCCTCTCAGAATGTGAGCCTCTCCTCCTTACAGTCTCTGTCTCTGATTGATCCTATGACACAGTGGGTAATATTCCTTCAACAAATACCTGGTCTTAAATATGTTTTGGTTACATTGTTGTAATATGAAAATCTAAATTTCACAATGTGCAAAAAAGGCCCTGCAAGCTTTTTTTAAACTAATAGAATTAAATTGAATTTGTAATGATTCTTATAATCTAAAACAGGATGTGCAGAGTACATGTTTATATTGTTGTGGTTTTCTCACTTTTAATACTTCTGAAAAATACAGTATATAGTGGTGGGCAGCACTAATCTAAAAATTAGTTCCACTAGCCCTAAAACACTAACTCGAATATTTAGGTCCCCTAATTCTAAAGCACTAACACATTGAAAATTTAGCAAAAGCTAATTCTAAAGCACTACAATAACCCAGTCAACCCACGAACATTCTTCAACAGACAACATGAGTCACATATTGTTATGTTGTTCTCTTAAGACTTATCATTGACATCCCACAGCTGTATTTGAGTTCATATGTGTGTCGTTTAGTGGATAAGTGACACACATATGAACAAAATGTGTGACAGCTTTCACTGTCAGCTGTTAACATTAATGTTGATCAATAACATTTATAGATCTCAGTTAGTGCTTCTAAATTTTGCCTATAAATTTAGCAAGTGCTGATCCACTAATAAACTTTTAAATTAGCAAAAGCCCTAAAGAACTAATAAGGAAATTAGTTCCCCTATTAGTGCTTTAGAGGAACTGTGCCTACCACTGAGTATATTAGTACTTGTCATTTAGAGTAACCAAATTTTGACAGACATGTTCTTTGCCTGTAAAATGGTTATTTTAAAAAAGATTTTAAATTAAAAACGTTTGTTTTTATAGGAAGCTACAAAGAAACTCTGGAGTAACTGAATCAGATTTAACAGCCCTTGACTTTCTAAAGTTATTGGAATGGGATCTTTTAAGTACCTTATCTGATAAAAACGCTTACCTTGTCAGATCTAGTTGTCCTTTTGGGGACCAAAGCATGGTCTTCAGACAGTAAAGAGCCATTTTTGTGTTAGGTGTAATAGAAGTAAATAAGCAGTCCTAATAAGGATAGAAAAACAAACCTTTGTGTGTGTGTTTGTGTGCAGAGGTACTACAAGAAGTCAGCAGCTTTCCTGCTGCGTGCCGTGGCCAAACACTCCCCTGAGCTGTCTCAGGTGGTGGTGGGCTGTGGGGGGGTGGACGCTCTGGTCCTCTGCCTGGAGGAGTTGAATTCCGGAGTGAAGGAGGCCGCTGCCTGGGCTCTGAGCTGCATTGCCCAACATGATGCCTGTAAGGACACACAGACCTGTTCTGGTTTCCCTTCATTTCATTTTGGACATTTGGTTCCACAGCTGAACCCTCCTTTCTCTGTGTGCTTGTGCCCGTTGTTCACCACCTCGCCGTGCCACCGCACAGCTCTGGCTCAGTCGGTCGTGGACGCAGGAGCTGTCCCCCTGCTGGTGATGTGTCTCCCGGAGCCTGAGCTGGCCCTCAAACGCATCGCCGCCTCCACGCTCAGCGACATCTGCAAACACACGCCGCAGTTTGCCCAGATCGTGGTGGACGCCGGCGCCATCTCCCACCTGGAACAGATGGTCCTCAGCCAAGACTCCAAACTCAAGGTGAGACTGATTTCAGCATTTTAGCTTTCTGTACAAATGTTCTAAAGAGAAATGCTTTAAAAACTCACATTTTTGATCATTTTATCTAATTTAACAACTTGTTAAAGATCGGTATAAGAAACTGACATGTCAAATAAAAGTCATATTTCTGTTCAGTGAAAAAAAAAACTGAACAAATATCAAAATAGTGACACTCAGTGCAGTTTAATTTACAGTTTAATATCCTAGCATTACATGAAACAATTCATAATTTATCAGTGCTCAGAATATGTGTTGGAGATGACTCACAGCTACTACCACGCCATATTTGAGCTTAGCATCTGTAAAAGTGACTGAGTCATAGCTACTAAAACCAGCTGGCTGTGGTGGCCATCTTGAATCCAGTTGAGTTCAGAAGGTAACCAGCTGTAAATATATATTTTATTATTCCTTTCTTAGAGTTTCATTAAAATATAAAAAAATGTTAAAGATGTTCTGCTAACAGAAAGACACAGTTGAATCCAACAGTTACCACCTCACGTGATCTGTTAGTGCGTGAAGTGTTGGGTAGTAGACTTAGCTCCCACCACACCAAATCTGTAAAACTAAATGAGATATTGCTATATTTGAATTAGCTAGGGTGGCTGTTTTTAATTTGTCCAACTTCAAATGTTAATAAGTTAGATGGGAACAATCAATAATTACGATTAGCTATGGCTGAGTGGTGAAGGGAGTCGTCCTCTAATCAAAAAGTTGGCAGTTTGATTCCCTGCAGTTCAGTCACATGTCAAAGTGTCTCTGTGCAACACACTGAACCCCCAGCCTCTGATGTGTGTCTGTAGTGTAAAGCGCCTTGAGTATCCTGGTTGAAGGCGCTATATGAGTCCATTTATATTTGATAGTTTAATCAGAGTCTGTCAAGTGGGGCATGACATATTTTGCTAACAGAATAATAATAATAATAATAATAATAATAATAATAATAATAATAATAATAATAATAATAATAATAATAATAATAATAATAATAATAATAAATACCGTATAAGACACTTCTGGTCATGTTTTTAAAAATTAACAGCTACTGGAAACTATTTTTGCATCTTCAGAACATCAGAGTTGAACATTTTTGCAGTTTGAAATGAGAATTGCAAATAAATATTTAACGTTTAAATTTCAGAAACGAGTTTTTTTTTCTGAAAGTGTTCAAGAAGCTGTTTGTCTCCATCCAGAGGCAGGTGTTCTCAGCCCTCAGCCAGATCAGTAAACACTCGGTCAGCCTGGCGGAGATCGTGGTCGTGTCGAAGGTCTTCCCCGCAGCGATCGCCTCCCTCAGAGATCCAGACGAGCACGTCAGGAAAAACGTCGCCACATTGATGAGGGAGGTGGTGAAACACTCGCCAGAGGTAGTTACGTCAGCTTCATGTCAGTGTTAAATCAACACTTAGAGTTAAATTTAACACTGTCCTTATCTGAACTGATGTCAATTTAACTCTAAACACAGTTCAAATTAACACTGATTAACACTGTACAGTGTTAATAAGACTTAACACTTCAAGTCAAAAAACTGATGTGAGTAATTCTTTCTGATTCTAAACAGAGTTAAGGTACTCCACTGTGATGACAAATCAATTCTGATTCTCATGCTTTTCAACACTGCATTGAGCTATTGATGGTTAACACTGGAGGTTCATATATCTCCTATGAGTGTTAATTTGACACTCTACTCTGTTGATTATTTACTCTTTTGCTGTGTGAAGGGTGTAAAACAGACACTATGAGGTGTCATTACACAGCAAATTTGAAAGTGTAAGTTTAACACTTTAGAGTTAAGATAAACTATTTTAGTGTTATATTAATACGTGTAATGGAGTCGACCTTCACACACCAGGAAGTACCTCTCACTCATGTCGATTTATGGCCAATAACACAAACTTAAACTTGATCAACCGATAAACCTGAAAAAAAAAAACCAACTAACTAGAACAACTACTTTTTACACTCGTGAACTTCTTTAATAATAGTCATAAACATGCAAACACATCAGTTCTACAAGATTACCCAGCATTCCTTGCTGTGAAAGTGCTGGTCTGTCTGACATAAGGTGCAAGAGGGCGGGGCTTTTTCAGAATGCTTTTGTCAACACTGCATGGTGTCATATAACAACACTTTCAAACCGTGGGTGGAGCTTATTTAACACTGTCCAGTGTTGAGACAACACTGGGGAAATCAACACTGTGAATAAACACCAACACTGGCAGTCAGTTTACTCAGAAAAGTGTTAAAATCCCACCAGGGGGAGTTAAATTGACTCTGAAAAGTTTAACACTGACATTTTAACACTCTGGTTTTTAAAGTGCACATAAGACTCGGTCTGTGTTTCTCCAGCTGGCCCAGGTGATCGTGAACTTCGGTGGGCTGGCGGCAGTGGTGGACCACGTGAGCAGCTGTCGTGGGAACCTGCGGCTGCCGGGGATCATGATGCTGGGATATGTGGCAGCTTACGGTGAAAACCTGGCCAAGGCCGTCATTCTCTCCCAGGTGTTTATGTATCGCTTTGTTAAAACCCGGGGTGTACCCTGCACCATCGCCCCCCCACGTCAAACTAAACAAGCTGTTCCTGCAGGGTGTCCCCCTGCTGGCCCTGTGTCTGGCTGAGGAGTCTGAGCAGCACATCAAGGCAGCCGCCGTCTGGTCCATCGGTCAGATAGGCCACCATACCACCGAGCACGCCAAGGTGGTGGCCACGGCCAACCTGATGCCCAAACTGCTGGATCTCTACATGGATGCCAGCAGCTCGGAGGACCTGCAGGAGAAAGTAAGACCTGAAGTCTCTATGTTTTTGTCTTCAAGTGAAACCAAAGCAGTGCAAGTGCAAATGCTCAGAAAGTGCGGTGCATTTCAGAGTAAGAAGGCCCTGAAGAGCGTCCTGCAGAAGTGCACCTACCTGCCGGCTCTGGAGCCGCTCCTCTACGATGCGCCCAGCAACATCCTCAAACACATCGTCTGCCAGTTCAGCAAGGTCAGGACGCCAGCCGAGGCTGAAATAAACACGTGTCGGATCGTTTCGAGACAATACTTTGTTGAACCCTCTCCTGCCCCGAAAAGGTGCTGCCTCATGACAGCAAGGCCCGTCGTCTGTTCGTGACCAGCGGAGGCCTGAAGAAAGTCCAGGAGATCGAAGCCGAGCCTGGATCTGCTCTGCAGGAGTACATCAACGCTGTTAACAACTGCTTCCCTGAAGAGATCGTCAGGTGAAGATTTTTATACCTGCTCTCTGATAGCTGCACGTTTTTGATTTTAGGTCACTTTTTGAGAAGCAGGTGCTGGTGTTTTTAACCACAATCAGCTGAGTGTCAGGGATTTACAGGTGTGTGTGTGTGTGTGTGTGTGTGTGTGTGTGTGTGTGTGTGTGTG